TTACAGTGAGGACAGGTGGCTTTGCCGCGGCGACAGTGAATACGACTACACCCCAGAGTGTGACACCGACCGCACACGAGAAGACCATCTTGGATTCGCAAGTCCGGACCCACACGAACGCCCCTGATATAGGAAGCGTTCCGGTAGGGTGATAGTGCAGAGAGGGGTTCGGATCAGGAGGAGAGTAGGCAGCAGCTACATTCATCGCTGGGGAAGCATAGGCGGTCGTCAGAGGACGCTCCATCAACTGCTGTTGCTGTTGAAGTTGTTGCTGTTGCTGCTGAGCGAGTAGATTCTGCGTCTGCTGCATCATGTTCATCATGCGTTCGAGGACAGCGTTCGCTTGGGAAGCTTTAGGGGACGGCACATTGTCGAACTCGGAGTCGTCTTCAACCGGACGGTGCATATTCTTAAGGAGCAGCATATCCACAGCCGCAGGGATGGAGTCAATCATTGTCGTGGTGAGGGCGTTCCTCCAATCTCGGTTCCGAAGTCCAGACAAGAAGTACTGGTAACGCATCTGAGTGTCGTAGCACTGAGCATCATCGCAGAGACTTGAAATCATGTCGCCCCACACTTCGGCGGACATTCCCCGGGGTCGTTTAGTGTTCTTCAGATTCTCAATCAGTTGCAAAGGGGTCTGACTGATGAACTGGTTGTGGAACCGAGTTCTCAGAGCCTCAAAGCTGTTGATGCGCGAGTACATCCACCAATCTTCGCCGACCTTGCCTTTCAAGCACTCCCTGAAAGCGCTGAGACGCAGGGGTTCGTCCAGCCCTATCGTGGCGTTCTCGAAGGCCTCCCAGAAGGATCTAGCTTTCTCCACCGACGCTCCTTCCGAGTAAAAGGGTTGGAGCATGCGAATTGCGTTTCGGATGTTAGTGGGCATACCATACTGGTCACTAGTAGTCGAAGGCGTATTACCATACGTAGGCGAGGAGTAGTAGGAGTTACCTCCATATTCCCCATACGCAGGACCCTGGTGGGTTCCGGCAGAAGCCGTAGTTCCTCCGTTTCCTCATGAAGCTCGGGTTGTTCTCGTAGGGTCGACTCCGTACGCGACTCCACTGGTAATCGAAGTTCGAGACCCCAGGCCTTGGGTAGGAATTTGAACGGTAGGCGACGAGACCTGGAAAAGGAACCCTCTGAGGAACGGGGACGGTTACCGCTGGAGCGTTCTCCCCGCCTCCTCGCAAGTTACCGGAGGGCTGGAGACCCTAAGGAGGAGCGTTAGAGGTCATCGGAGGAATACTTGCCGGGGAAGCACGTCCACCGTTTTCAGGGACAGTTGGTAGGGAGAAGAACGGGTTGAAGTCCTGCCCATATGACGTATTTGGGGTTCGGATTGTGAAACCTTGGTACGACGGGATTGCAGTCCTTACTCGAGTCGTAGGAGGGGGAGTCCCCACAAGACCGTTTCCACCAGTTCTCTCCATAGCGGCGGCAATTTCAGGAGGGGCCATGGATCTCAACCAGTTGAGGGAGTTAAGCCAGCCTTGCACCGTACCTCGGCCGCCTCCGCCGTTCAGGGTCAGCATTGAGTCCAACTCTTCCGAAGTGAAGGTCGCAGAGACCCCGGAGCCCAAAGCGCCCGCGGGTGGCTCGACACCAGTACTAGAGTTGCTCCCCCCAAGTCGGTTAGCCGCTTGGTCTATGATATTCTGCACGTTTTGGAGGCCTTGCGTAGTCGACAGACTGGGTCGCATTCTCGAAGGCAGACTCTCGGTCGGGCCTTCTTCTTCCCGGACAGTGGCGCTCTCATCTTCTCTGTTGTTAGTAGCCGACATCTTGTCCTTTCTTCTGACGTTCTCCGCGAGACTTCACTTGAAGCAAGACCTTCTCCAGCTAGCAGATTACCCTGCTTCTCCACCAGATGTCGTATACCTCCTCTTCCTTCAAGGGTCGGGTAGTCCGCGGCTGTTCAGGGAGTACGGTCTTGTTCAGTGGCTGCAGGAACGGTAAATAGGAACACTAGAGAGTTAAAAATAAAAGTTTGCTGATTGGCTTGGCCTCCTCTTGAGTAGAAGGAGGGCAATATAAGACTGAGAGCTAACCGGAAGAGAGGCCTAACACCTTCTCGACCTTACATACACTACACTACATATTAAAAAAAAGGAAGGATTCACTTCGTTTGTTGTCGGCCTTCGTGAGAAAACGGAGAGCCTCTGGGAAAGGGCTTGATGTCGCGAGGTGCTTTTGGAGAGCCTCTGGGAAAGGGCTTGATGTCGCGAGGTGCTTTTGGTCCCCCGACGCCAAGACTCCGGCGTTCAGGGGTCCCCTTATAGGACCACCCTAACGGGCTCGATCAAGGGTACGTGCGAGGTTGAGCTCAACGGGAACCACCCTGACGGGACGGCGGGGCGAGGAGTGATTCCAGGGTCTCGGGTCATCCCGACGGGAGGCAGAGCTCCTGGAATGACCCCTCCGTTCCCGGGTACGGGACAGTCCGTCGGGACAGTATTGCCCCAACGGTGAGTATCCCCACAAGTGCTGTGGGCCAAAGAATGGCGAGTGCTTCAACCCAGCCACCGGCGCGTACCAGAAGGGGTGCTCAGCCGGCTTCAAGTGTAGCAACAACAAGTGTGTACGCTCTTAATCTGCAAAAGATCGAGCTTTCTCGAGCACTTGCTGCTGCATCAAGGATCAATGTAATTAATCAGTAGTGAGATGTAACAAAAAAAATCGGACACACAAGGTGTTGTGAATATCGAATATTGGACTTAGGCTGCATTCACAGCAACACATCAATTATTAGGTAGGTAACTGGTTTTGGGGTCCAATGAAATCTGTTGCGGTAATGACTAATCTACGCCACCTACGGCTTGATCCAAAAAGCCAATATGGCTGATCACTTAGGGGGGGGGGGTACGCCAGCTAATGGAGCTTATTGCCTTACTCGGAAAACCATTGGATGGCTATGAAAACCGGCGCTACTTATTGGATCACTACCTTCTGAGTATGATACCGTGGTAGAAACATTTCTTACTAGTCATACACCGCAAGACAACAATGAACAGCCGAATTATGAGCAGTTGGAGCATGCTCTCGAGGTCGCATATGATCGCCGTCAAGGTCGTAAAACGGAGAGTGGTAGAGTAAGGAGTCTGAAGAGCACGCCATGTGGAAGAAGGAGACTCGTCGGACCAAGGAGATCCTGTACGATGGCATGACAAATCAAATTATAAAAACAGTGAAGTACGAGCACTCCCTATTGAGTTTAAAGAAGCGGTTTGTCGGCAATACAAACTTCAAGTGACTTAGTGTAGATCAGTATAATCCCCTCTACTGATCCACAGCTACATGTATCCACCTCACACCCAAATCAAGTTTGACCTTATTATGTACAGCACAGAATATATTCCGGGGTTGAAAGAATTAGCCCTTCTTATCTCGCTAAAGTAGCTATTTCATTAAATCTGCCTAAATTTTAGCAGCTCAATCGAAAATAGCTTGCGTTATTAAACTTCGTGAAAAAAAGGTCTAGGAAGCCAATCAAAGACATATTTGACCTGACCACGCGTGTATTCTCAGGGTCATTGCCATACCATACAACAAATTAACAAGGTAAGATGTAGCAGTCACAAAATTGATATTGTACAATACCTTCCATCCTCTGAAGTTTCATCGACAAACAAGATTTGATCTGGCCCTGTCTTGAAAGGCAATAGCCTGTTCACATACTCTTGCCTCGTCAGCGTATGTCTGATGAGTAGCCCATACTTGATTTAAAATCAATCTGTTGTGGATGCCTTAAGTAAGGGTACCGGTAAATGGCCGGCAAATACTGACCATCCAGCCCTTAATTTGCTAAAAGGTACCCTTTAGAGCGACCTCCACAATCAAGTATTATTGGATCATCAAAATCAAGCAGTGTTATTGGTCAAATATCATTTTATTTAGTGGCCTGGCTTAGCGTCCTTAAATCCCACCCTTAGCCCTACCCACCACCAGCCAGATTGGCCTAAACTTTGGAAAGGCACACCAGTACATGTATTAAAGAAAGTGTAACCCTTTTGTTCACCTGTAGCCCATGGATTGCAATGCAATTTGCATCGGCGGAACTCAATTTTTCGCTCAGGTGCGTATCCTGAACGGGCTCACCGAGAAGTCGCTTGGAGTGGACAAGGCCCCAGTGTATTCCTGATTTCGCTTTAACCGCCACAAGGTCCTCTCGATGAAGATGTTCGCGCTCGTGCTAACTGCATTCGCTACCAAGTTGGCAACAGCTACGTCAGGCTCCAACGTTTCTGTCTGCTTGACTGAAGGCTGCGACGGCACCAGGGAGTACTGCGACAGCTCTCTCGGCGAATGTCGAGCTGCCACGAGCGCTACCGAGTGCTACAACGCCAGCGTCGCTCTGTTTCAAGACGGATGTGGCGAAGGATACGAATGCATCGACGACCTATGTCGAGTATCTACGGAGCCAGTCGACGGCCGCACCTGCCACATCATTTGCTCCGCCGGCAAACTCTGCGAGAATGACAGCAACAAATGTCGTGGTCCTAGCTACGAAGACGAGTGTTTCAACCTCGCCACTGGATTTTATGAAGATGGCTGCGAAGATGGCTACCATTGCTCATTCAACAAATGTGTAGACGTCAGCCTAGAAGACGAAGGGGAAAGCCTCGCAGACGACAGTGCAAGCCGTAGCAACAGCAATACTGTCGGTGTTGCCAGTAACGACATGCAGCAAGACAATGATAGTAGTAAAAGTGGCAGTACCAGCACCAGCGGCTCTTCGACAGCTGCAACCACAACAAACGAAGGAATGCGCCACAACTCACTTGTGGCTGCTGTCTTTGCCACTTTTCTCTCGGCCATCTTTCACCTTCAAGACGACCACTAGCTTGCTCTCTGCTCTCTGCTGTCAAGTCTGTACATAATATACTATGTAGTTTAAAGCGCCAACTGTACATGTAGCCATTTTAAATGACTACACATATTTCGATATTTCTCATGTTGCCAACTTACTACTACGTAGTACATGTACAGAGTAAGTATTACACCTCATTCACAGTAGGGAGATCTTTCTTGTCGACGATGCGGGCGAATGGGAATGGGCCCACGAACTCGTACTGGTTCTGTTTGCGAGTCGACTTCTCCACGTCGCTGTAGTCCAGGCCAGGGTAGAACGCCTTGTTCGCGGCGTACGACTGCGCGTGCCACTCGATCTCGAAGTTGTTGACGTAGAAGTTGCCGAACTTTGACTTGTATTGCTGCTGCACTTCGTATGGGTAGAAGTAGAACCCACAGACGTCCGGGTCGTTCTCACGCACCTCGTCTGGCACGGGGGACAACACGTACGCGATCTTCTGCGCCAACATCGGAGACAGACACAACTCGGTCGAGTTCTTTGTAGCCATGTTGTACTCGAACAAACACATACGCAACATGCGATCCCCCCACTGCGTCGTGTTGCGCACAAAGTACGTGTAGTCCTCACTCACGACGCAGAAGTTGGGGTCTGTGCAGCGCAAATGCAGCGGCTGTAGACTCACCCTCGCGTACAGCTCCGTCTCCTCGGACAGACACGACTCCACACCTCCACCAACGGTAGGCGAGCGTTTGATCGGTAACGGGATGTTCATCCCGGGGTCTCCATGGCGTCTTGCATCGATCACCTCGGCTGTGTTGCCGCACTGGTACCAGTTCTCCGGGTCGTAGCTGTTCGGACACATGCTGGCTTCTTCCCACTCTGTGATCTCCTGTAGCCAATACTTGAGACTGTGACTACCTCGAGCGTGTTTGGGTCCGAGTGCAGGGTGGATGCCATCAAACCACGAGTTTTTCAGTATAAATCCTCCCGTATATCCCTGTTTAGTACGGTAGAGATCGTTGTAGCCTACCAAAGTCATAGCGTGGCCTCCTTCTGGTGTCATGACGTGACTAGTGATGAATTCACCGTTCATGTTGTAGTTCTCTCCGTATTCGATAGGAACACAACACGTCGTCATGGATAACTCGGGTGGACAAAGAGTACACTCCGTCGACGTCGGGTTACAACGATCTTGTCCTGCAAGCTCGCCGATGCAGGGATAGTAGTGCGTGATGTACGGCATGGCCGTGGAAATCGCCATTGCTCGCTTATCTTTTACAAGAGCGCGCTTGACAGATACTTGATCGAAGTATGTATCCATCTTGTTGATCGTGAGACTTAACGGGTTTGTTTTACGTGCCTCAGGCGTCATACCAGGACACACCGTGTCGTTCCCTGGGTCGGGGATGTACGGGCAGATGGAGTCCGGGAAGATACTGTCCTTGAGCCCATTCATCAGGTACATCAACTCCGAGACATCGCCTCCCTCGGTGGAGTTCTTCCAGATCTCATTGCCAGGAATCAGACACGCCACTTGTTGCGGCGAGCCAGGAGGACCAGCGCACAGACGAAGAACCTCTGCGCCGTACGCCTGCTCCGATAATGCCAAGAGCTCGTCTTCCTGTAGCCATCCTTGAGCAATTCCCTGTTGACGGTAGCTATTCTCCAGCACAGCTACAGTTGCAAAGTCCGAGCACGTGCCACGCTCGTCCTGCGTCTTCAGTGGCGTAACGTAATCCACTGCAAACTTGGTTGGAAACTTGCCGTCCTTGTGGAATTCCGCTTGCGTCATCACCGCGGACTGCATCGTCTCCCTGTCAGAGATCAACGTTTGGCCATGTCAGCTACCTTCAACACACTTAACAGGATGCTATACGTACATTTGCTGATGCATCTTGGTGATAACTTCCTGCTGAGTCGCCAACGAACTGTGTATCATTGCAGCGTAGCTCAGTCCCGCGACTCCCAGTGCTGCACCGAGCACCAGCGGCCCCCACGACCGGCTGCGAGACACCGTCATTTGAACGGGAGTTAACGACACGAAGGGATCGCGCTCGTCCGACATTTGCACTGCTCCGTATCCGTCAGCCATGATGCGAGTTCAGGAAAAATCGTAAGTATCCATGATCGACGGTTGCAATTTGCAACGGCTTGCACATCGAACACCTGAAACAGATTACTTTTAGCCAATCAATGTTCGATTCAAACGCGTTATTCCTTAGCGTTATGATTGGTAGAAATCGACATTTGTATTAAATACGATTACGTAGCAACATTCTGCAAAGGATCGCCCGCACCCGCAGACACGCCGTCATCGCCGCGCTACGTCAGAACCAATTTCTCTTCTTCCCACTCAGACATATCTTCATCCTCCTCTCACTGTTGCCTCTCCTCTCATCTAAAAAGTACCCTTCATCTTTCCATATTCATCGATTAAAACACCATGTTCGACGGAAGCTTCAAGTCGTCTCGCAAAGTGAGCCTCAGCGGCCGCAAGAAGCCCACAACGGGCTACAGCGCACGTCTGGCGTCGATATCAAATTCTAGAGGAGGTCGCGACGACGTATTGGCCGGCTCCAAGCAAGAGCTCATGCTGCAGAACCGTCTGGCTCGAGAAGAACGTCAAGCCCTGAAGAAGCGCACGGCCGCCAGTACCCGCATCCAGGCGCAGTACCGTCGTCTACGAGCCGCGGAACACGCAAGATCCGAGGTCTTCATCCACCTGGAGCAGCAGCTTACGCAGACGGTGCTGAGTGTCGATATCCAGAACAAGGCGCTGCCTACTCCGCAGCTTCAGCTCTTCCTAAGGCAGTTCCTCTTCACTGTGAAGAGTAACATAGCAGCCAACAGGATACGTAAAGTGCAGGACTACTTGGTGTTTATGCTGCTTGTGAGCTGTTTAAAGGGGGAGAGCGGGTCCAGTTTCCTCGCAGTGGACAAGGATGCGCGCTGGGTGTATCAAGTCACGAGGATAAGCGAGCTCGCTCTGCAGACGCTTGTACAGGAGCAGTTAAAGACCTCGGTGGCGAACGCAGCAGTGGCAGTGAACCCATACTTGCTGCTATTGGACACGTTGACGAGTGTCTCGAAGTATCCGACGCCTGAAGCGCAGACGGCGTTGTCCAGTGTCTCGTATCATTTAGGCGTGACCACTAGATACGGGGTCTTTGACGCAATGAGCGCGTGTATTACACAGCAGACGAAGGAAAGTGTCTTGCGTGTGGAGAATAACAGGCTAGTTCAAGTGATCGGCAACATCGCGGCTCAAACACTGGCTCAAAGCCAACAAGAGCGAGCGTCGAAGGTATCACGACAGTTTGCGACCAAGATCTTACTCTGTGCGTCTGCTGCGAGCTCTCCAATAACGACTTACGTCACGTCTACCGTTGCTCCAAGTAGCAAACAGCTGGGGCTCTTCTGGGCGTCCGTGGTACATCAACTCTGTGATAACTCCGCCATGACTGAACTGTCATGGCAGCAGCGTGCAATTGTCGTCGGAAATGTCGTAGAACTGACGTCCGTGTGCGCATTCAACGCAGCTCTTGTCGAAGTTGTCCCGTTTGTATTGTCAAACTTGGTGACACCGTCACTGGTGCAATGGGCGTTCGATGTGAAGCACAGCCGCCAAGATCCCATGGCTCCTGAAGAAGATTACGACATGGATGAAGAGGCCGACGTTCCTATCGTGCCGCCAACATATCTGATTACCGGCTTTGCTGTATCTGACGAAGAAGCACGACGTGGCGCTCAAGCGCTCAGCGACGCTGAGGCCAGCGTACATGCTCAGTGGCAAAAGATCTGTCATTCCAACTTTAGTGTGCGATGTCTGGACGCACTGCTGCACGCCGACGTGCCTTTGCACAGCGAGGAGAACGCTGTGTCCAGGTTCTGCCATCTCCTGACGACAGTGCTGCTCTCTACTGGAAGGCCGTACGTGCTGAGTGTTGCTGCGCGGTTTGCCAACCCGCCTCCAGCGTTGTTTGCGCTGTTAAGTTCGATGACTGTCGAGCAGCTCGCTGGCACGTCCAACACCAGCGTGGTCTACAACATGTGGCAGTGGATTAGACCGAGACTGGAGAGCGTCGCCGCTCCGCAGTTATCAGGCTCTCTGACCAATGACTCGCTAGTATTTACGACGTCGCAAATGCAAGTGCTGATAGTGTTCAATGTCGTCTACAGCCACATGCTGCTGGGTCTGGACGACGAGGCCTTCTACGATGGCCAGTGGCCTTTGCGCTTAACCGAAGTGACAGCTGTCGTGACGTTTCTCAAGCAGTTTATCTACGACACGTGCTGGACCGTAACCAGTAGCAGCACGCTGGCAGTCGACGGCATGGATGAACAGGAGCTGGTGTTGTTCTCGGCGGTTGTGTCGTCCATCAAGCTGTTCAACCAGCTGTACGACCGTGACTGTCGACGCCGCTTCATGCCTGATGACGCGTGGCTGTGGCCGTCGATGCCTGTTGTCAAGGAGATTGTGGACCTCGAGTTGATGAAGGAAGACGGCAATCACGATGCTCACGCTGTCTACATGCTCATGAATGGCAAGGCGTCGTCCCCCTACGCACGTGCAGCTCTGATCCTCATCACGATCCCGCAGGTTTTGTCGTTCAACGATCGTGTGCAGCTCTTCCAAAAGCTGCTGGAAGACGGGAAGGAACAACTGGGTCATATCCGCGACGAGTTCTCGCGAGCGTTCCAGGTGCGCGTGAAGCGCGACGAGATCGTGGACGACAGCTTCGATTTCTTCCAGGAAGTGTGTGACACGATGTCTCCCGCGGCGCTTAAGTCGCGTGTTAAGGTCACGTTTGTTAACGAACAAGGACTAGAAGAGGCGGGGATCGACGGCGGCGGCGTGTTCAAGGAGTTTATGGACAGTCTGACCAAGAGCGCATTTTCGCCGGAGTACGGCTTCTTTCTGGAGACAGAGGAGCACTTGCTGTACCCGAATCCAGGCGCGAGGTACATTGTCGACACACGTAAGGAGGTTCTTGATCGGTATCGCTTCCTCGGTCGTGTGCTGGCGAAGGCGGTGTACGAGAACATCCTGGTAGAGCCTCAGTTTGCTGCGTTCTTCCTGAACAAACTTCTGGGCAAGTTCAACTACATCGACGACCTGCACTCGCTAGATCCGGAGCTGTACAAGTCTCTGATGCGACTTAAACACTACGACGGCAACGTGGAGGACCTCGCACTGACGTTCAGTGTGAGTGAGATGGAGTTTGGCCAAGTGGTGACGCGCAATCTCGTCCCGGACGGCTCCAACGTGCCCGTGACGACCGACAACCGGATTCGGTATATCCACTTGATGGCCAACTACAAGCTGAACGTCTTGTCGTCCACTGAGAGCGCGGCGTTCCTCAAGGGCTTCCGCGACTTGATCCCAGGGACTTGGATCCAGATGTTTGCTCCGGCCGAGCTGCAGATGCTCATCGGCGGCTCAGCTACCAACATCAACATCGACGACTGGGAGCGGCACACAGTGTACGGAGGTGGTTATCATCCGTCTCAACGCGTTGTCCAATGGTTCTGGGACATCGTACGGCAGGATTTCACTCCAGAAGACCGCGCTGCATTGCTCAAGTTCATCACGAGCTGCTCTCGGCAACCGTTGCTGGGCTTTTCGAAGCTCCAGCCACAGATTTGTATCCATCAGGTGCGTGTGGAAGACGACGACCGGTTGCCGTCCAGTGCCACGTGCATGAACCTACTGAAGCTGCCAGCGTACTCCAATAGAGAAGCCATGCGCAACAAGCTGCTGTACGCCATTAGAGCCAACGCAGGCTTCGACTTGTCCTAAGGTATAATGAAAATTTTAATAAACCAGCGAGTGCCCCGTCGCCGTGATCGCTAATCATTTTTCAAAAATCGGACGAGCGGAAAAATGCTTACGAGCTACGGAACGGAGACCGTCGACTTTGCGCGTGAGGAAGATGTGTGTATTGGTCGTCCAGTGAGTGGCCGTCGTCGACGTCATTCGTGGACGGCGATGGCGGTCGCGGTAGTGCTGGGACTCGCTGGTTTGAGTTGTGTGGCCATGCTGCACAACTCGTTGGTGTCTCAGCAAGAAATGATTGCCAGGATGCAGCAACAACTGTGAGGTTTTAACAGTATGTAGAGCTGTGTGCTGTTGATACGTGTACTTACCACTACGGTGTTTGTTGTAGGGATGTCCTGTCCTCTGTGGGAATGTTGGAAGACGCGACGTGGGACAGCGCGAAGAAGAAATTCAAGAAGGCCAAGAAGTACCCGACCAAGTTTGCTGTCGACTACGTCACGCCTTTGAAGACACAAGATGAGCGTGGCACGTGTTGGGACTTCGCCACTGTCGGAGTCTTGGAGAATAGCTACCGACAGCAAGGAATTGCTCGTGGCTGGCTGCAGGAGGACGAGTACATGGCGATCTCCGAGCAAGCGTACGGCGCTGAAGTCTTGCGGTTGTGTGCGGGTCCTCCGGGCTCTCCGCAACAAGTGGCGTGTTTGATCCCAGGCAACGGCATCTGGAAGAACTCGACGGAGGGAGGAGACGCCACGTTGTTGATGTATTTGATGAACGGCTTGAAGGACAACATCTATCCTCATTCCATCTATCCGACGACACTGTGTGTACTGGTCTGACGTCTGAGAAGCGCTCTACCAACCCACTGAGTCTGAATATCAAGAGAATGGATACTCTTATGGACCAAGCGGCGATCAAACGCGCGATGTTGAAACACCGTCAAGCAATGTCGTTGACGACGGCAACACCCTACACGACACATTATTACCCTTGTATCGGCAAAGTTGCTGGGTTAGATCGCTGTAGCCCGACGTCGACGGAGTGTACTCTGTGTCCACCCGAGTTATCCATGACGACGTGTTGTGTTCCTATCGAATACGGAGAGAACTACAACATGAACGGTGAATTATCACTAGTCACGTCATGACTCCAGAAGGAGGCCACGTCATGACTTTGGTAGGCTACAACGATCTCTACCGAACTAAACAGGGATATACGGGAGGATTTATACTGAAAAACTCGTGGTTCGATGGCATCCACCCTGCACTCGGACCCAAACACGCTCGGGGCAGTCACAGTCTCAAGTATTGGCTACAGGAGATCACAGAGTGGGAAGAAGCCAGCATGTGTCCGAACAGCTACGACCCGGAGAAATGGTACCAGTGCGGCAACACAGCCGAGGTGATCGATGCAAGACGCCATGGAGACTCCGGAATGAACATCCCGCTACCTATTAAACACTCGCCTACCGTCGGTGGAGGTGTGGAGTCGTGTCTGTCCGAGGAGACGGAGCTGTACGCGAGGGCGAGTCTACAGCCGCTGCATTTGCGCTGCACAGACCCCAACTTCTGCGTCGTGAGTGAGGACTACACGTACTTTGTGCGCAACACGACGCAGTGGGGGGATCGCATGTTGCGTATGTGTTTGTTCGAGTACAACATGGCTACAAAGAACTCGACCGAGTTGTGTCTGTCTCCGATGTTGGCGCAGAAGATCGCGTACGTGCTGTCCCCCGTGCCAGACGAGGTGCGTGAGAACGACCCGGACGTCTGTGGGTTCTACTTCTACCCATACGAAGTGCAGCAGCAATACAAGTCAAAGTTCGGCAACTTCTACGTCAACAACTTCGAGATCGAGTGGCACGCGCAGTCGTACGCCGCGAACAAAGCGTTCTACCCTGGCCTGGACTACAGCGACGTAGAGAAGTCGACTCGCAAACAGAACCAGTACGAGTTCGTGGGTCCATTCCCATTCGCCCGCATCGTCGACAAGAAAGATCTACCCGGGACTACCGAAAATGTTTAAAACACAAAACAGTGTTGTAAACATTTTGAATCTACAGTAGGTGCTGAAAAGGAAAATTCATTTGTTGTTAGTGAAAGTGACTACGATTGCTTGCTTAACCCCTGACGCACTGGTTGCTAGCACACCGGTATCCTGCTCCACATCCGTTCTGGAATCGTCCAGTAGCAATGTTGAAGCACTCGCCTGCGAAAGTCGGACCACGACAGACGCTGGTGCCATTTTCGCAAAATTCCGAGTCGGGGCACTGTAGATAGCAAACGGAAGGGGAAAAAGTTGCTGGTGGGATCGTTGAGCACTTGTTGTTGATGCACGTGAAGCCAGCGGCGCAGCCGTTCTGAAACATAGCAGTGGCCGGATTGTAGCATTCGCCAGCATACCGAGGTCCACGACACGCGGTGGCTCCGATCTCCCAGTACGTTCCTGTCGGGCATGGGGAGAAGAAGCCGCCAGATTCAGGACTTGGCGCGTTCGTTGGTGCATCTGTCGGTGCTGCAGTTGGAGCAGCAGTTGGGGCGGTAGTGGGGCCGGTAGTTGGAGCGGTAGTTGGTGCTCTTGTCGGGGCAGAGGTAGGAGCTGCCGTCGGGGCAGCGGTAGGATAATAATCATCAATGACGCACTCGCACATGTTGTCAAAGCAGTCGTATCCTTCTGTACAGCCGAGCTGGAACTCGTTGATGGTAGCATTGAAGCAGGCGCCTTCTACGGGTGGTTCATGGCACTGTGGAAGCGAGGTTGTGCAGAAGGTGCCCACAGAACAAGACGAGCAGTCGTCAGTCGTAATGACGAGGTCCTGCGCTGCAGCAGCTTTGGTGGTAACGACGATAGCGAGGATAGTAGAGAACTTCATCGTAGGACGAATGAGAGGTAGATAGGTAGGTGTGGCTTTTGGTCTTGTGAAGAGAATTGAAGAATGAAATCGGACAGCCAAAACATCCGTTGAGGGGCAGAAAGGAGTCTACGACGCACATTCTGCATCCATACTGCATCCCATGGTTCGCATCGCACTTCTCGGTGCACTACAAGAAGCTTCCTCAAGGAAGTCCTTGTGCTCATGCGTCTTCGCATTTTGGTGTTGGCAACACTAGTCTCAGTAATATGGCGGTTTCGTGCGACGCTGGGTAGTGCGGACATCACAATTATTATCCGACACAGAAACAAAAAAACCCTGGCTAGCACCAACTTGGTCTGGCCAAGCAGCATTCGAAAAGTGGCCACGAAACTCCCCAGCCACCAGGCGTTCCGGTGTGCCAACATCAGTAGAAGTGGACTTCGTTGGATGGAGTGGTCGCAACTTAACTAACTGCCTTGGGCTACTAGTGGACCACTAGTAGCCCAAGGCAGTCCAACCGTTCCACAACTAGTGGAAAGGTTGGACAGCAACATACTTTCGCATCTTCGCATTGAGAGCACAACCTGTCATAACTCTTCATTTCCCAGCAACTTTGTAATACCGGTACAACACCGATACTCAAAAGACAACATTTGAGAGGCTAGGAAAGTGTCGACATGCAGCCCACCAAGTTCGACAACGCTGTACGTTTCTAGCTCTATCAATAAAATTGTAGCTCATATATTGACACCCTTGTACGGCGATCTGCTCTTCTACGTCAAAGGAGTGTGCAAAACTGCAGCGTGAGTCGCTTAACTGCCTCATAAGTAAGCGATCATGTGGCTAAATCTCTGAATTAGCGGTGTATTTATTTACCAGTGTGGTCTGTTGCAGATAATGAGGACAACAAGAACGCGTGCCAGGCCTACTTCGACCGCTACAAACAGTGTCTGAAGGACCGTCGTGAGCGTGAGATCGCGGAGCGCAGAGCGCGTCTCCAAGGATAACAAACGTCAATTTCAATATTGTTTTAAACGAAATACCCCTCCGAGTTAAATAGTTGGCAGTGTCTTAATGCCTGCCTCCTCATCTGTCTCCACGCCGACGAGATCCAACACAGCCTTAGGTTTCTTCTCCATTCCATCGGCGATTTGGTTAACTCCATCCATAGCAATGCGCTTCCGCTGCACCCACGCCGTCTACATACATACAACATACGGTAAATGTCAATTGTTTTTTATGCCAGAAACAAAGACGTACCCGATACTTGGTGAATTTTCGCTTAAGTGCGTTTTTCCTGCCAGGCGACACAGGTGCTCGACCTGGTTGATCCAGCGTCTCCACCTTCGTTTCCAGAGCTGCAGCTTCGTCTTCAAGTTGGTTCAACGCTGCGTCGAAATCTGCGTCCGAGATCTGCGAAGAAATGCCTGAAAGTGTCGTCTCTGCGCTCTTCAGCTCCTGTTCTGACGCAGTACACTCGGCAGTGACGGTTTTAATCTGCTCTTCAATAGCCAGACGCTCTTCTTCCGACGGTACAGGCAGATTGTTCTGGTTCAGGTAGTAGATCTTGGCCTTGCCGTACGTCTTGCTCGCCAGCTCCTCCCTGAATACCAGTCATTCATATTAGAAGCCCCTCTTACCCCTCTATAGTTATATTCTTACTTAACAACAAGGTTGTCCAGAGGCTTCGTAAGTGACGGCTTGGCAATAACTCGGTGCATGTTCTCGAACACATTGAGCAGACTATACGGCCGATTCGTCTGCAAATGTTATCATAAAGTTAGAAAAATGACAATTGCAGAGTGATAATTGCAGCCCAACCTTGCGCATATAGTCGAGCACAGCAGCTTCAGCGTCGCCTGCACTCATGGGTTTCGGCTTTGGCGACTTCTTGGCTGCAGCAGCGGGAGATTTAGACTTGGTCGTATTGGAAGCTGTAGCTTTGGATGTTGCCGTCTTTTTCACGGCTGAGCTGGAGCTTGTAGCCTTGGGCTTAGGCGGTGGCGTCTTTTTGGCGACGGGTTTCGTTGCAGACACACGCGCTTTCGTCGGCTTGGGCGCCAGATCCTCAAGGTCCGACTCGTCGCTGGCAGCGGCGAGGTCTTCTCCATCCTCTTCTTCTTCCTCAGCTTCATCGGCGTCGAATGGCTCCTCCGAGTCGTCACCTAAAGAGAAGTCTGTGTCCAAGTCGCTCATGCTCGCCCGTCAAAAATGAAAACTCGTTTTTCAAACCGGTAATGATATATTTCCCTACGTAAATACATACCGGTATTTTGATTCCAGTAAAATGATTTCTAACTCGAAATTTCGGATGAGTGCAAAACAATCGAGCCGTGAGAGCACCAATTCCCGAATAATACAGTCGTGCACCTCCAATTCGGCACCGGTATCAGTCGATACCCTGCCAGATTTTATGATCACGCAAATCGGATGCGTAATTACCTTTGCCCATCACCACCCTAGCAATTAACCTCAACGGTTTTCCCCCTCCTCGCGGAGGGATGACACGCCACATCGATCTGATTTTAAATTTTGGATCGGACGTCTTCATACAAACACACACTTTGATTTTTACCGCCAAAGACAATGGGACATCGCCCTTCCTCCTACATGTCCCTAACTCTAGCACAGTAGCAGTCTTTGTGCGAGAAGCACAAGTCAGATCCTGCATGCTCTCACTCCGACCTTGCTCGTTGGGCAACGGAGTGCTTTAAGACCCCCCCCCAAGCAGGAAAGCGCACTACCGTCCAGAGTATTCTTAAGCGGTCGGCGGACGTTGCCGCCTTGCCGGATGCCTATCGCGACCGGAAGCGCTGTTGCGCGCCGGCGATTCGCGCGTCTGACGCCAAGATTATGCAGAAGATTGAAGTAAATTTTGTACTGAATTAACAAAACAAATATCAGTGCACTGGATTTGCGTTTGTTTTTTGCTTTACGTTGTGCACTTATGCCCTGGCACTGTTGATATGGTCCGCCCTGCCGAATTGGAGGTGCACGACTGTACCCTCTACCCAAATACTCCCCTCACTCACAGTGACCAAGAGTAACATCATTGAATTAAGTACATTTGGATTCGGTAGCTTGTTTTTTTAAACCACCTAAAAACGGCCCAGCCTAGCAGACGATGTGATCGTATCGCTTCTTTATCCAGAAGAGCCATCGATCCATCCTTATACTACTGCATCAGCTGCTACATGTATTGCATAGGCGGTATGTAATGCACCACCAAACTTTGGAACCTATAAAAATATCTTCCAGAAGGTCATGTCGGTCGGACGCTGAAGTGATCTTCGATAGGTTTTAGCTTAGCCCCCCGGTACGAGAGCAAATCGTAAATGCACACACCCTACCGTCTTACCCCGCACAAAGCGCCCAGGCGTACTAAAAAATATTATGATGTGGTTCAGAACAGTGTGTTACCTCGATTACAACGTAAAGTAGAATACAAGAACACACCGCGGGAAGGGTTTTATTAAATTAATGTGCTCTAAGCCAATGATTTTAGAACGACTCTAATGCATGTATAAATCTACTCTCCACCCATTCTTTTAGTGTAGTTGAGACCATCAACGCTCAACTGCTCATTCTAAAAATATCTGAACAAGCTTTGACATACCTTTTGTGTGCGGGGCATTAGATGTACCTCTTCCCTGGTGGGCCTTCAATTGACACAACCAGAATCGATCCATGGACCAGCAGTTTGCCAATCCATGCTTCGATCAGGTGAGCCGTCAGCACATAATAAAGTGACGTGCATGCATATATATTTGTAGCTGTATAATCTCCACCTGACCTGTGCGTTCTTCAATGTTAAGAAGTTTGCTCGTAGAATAGCGCCTAGGCACTCAAAACGAATAAAGCGCTCACTGGGCGCTATTTTTTATTAGTATGCCTGGGCGCTCTGTGCGGGGTAAGACGGTAGCCTCATGCTTGATATCAGGTATGTTAAGGACTAGTGATAACAAGGAGTTTGTATGTGGTAAAAAAATGAACCATATCCGCCTCTCAGTACAAAGCCACCCTTCATCACTATCCATGTGACCACTCGCTTCCTATCGAGCTTGTTGACGTGGTATATAGCTGCATGCTATATATAGAGCAAAATGATTTGGCCTTTTTACAAGGAGAGTCTTTCCTCAGCTAAATCGAGTGCAAAGAATACTGCGAACGTCTTGTATTGAAGTGCAAAAGTAATGCAAAACAAACATTAGCAGCTGATTGCACATCATGTGCCTACTCGGGAGTGGTGTCATCATCGCTACTGTCTTCATCATCGCTGACGGCCTCACCTTTACTCGCATCACCACCTTCTGTCGAAGCCTCACCAGCGTTACCTGCCTTCTTCCCCGGTGGCCTTATTTGAATGCCGCGACCGCAGTGAGGCTTAGGGCGATCGCGACCAATTCTCCAGAGGTCGTGCCAGATCGCGTAGCATGTCCGCGTGTTGCCCGGGTAATGACCCTGGCGCACTTTATCACACAAGTACAACCTGCAATAGCTATTAGTAAGTGATGAAGAATCAATGCATTTCTAGGCTTACCTCTTGTTCCCCTTACTGCACCCTGGACAAAAGAACCGCGTGACCTGGCGCTTGCTGCTCACTGTCTTGCGAATTATACACACCTTACACTGTCGTTGGCGGTGCTTTTGAATACCTCCATTCACTCCTCGTCAATGGGCCAAGCTGTGGCCTTCGGAGCTTGCAGCGTCACCTCGACTTGGAGTCACAGGCCCCGGTGAGTACATCTACAATAGACCAAACAGCAGGAAATTACACCATTGCCCGGCTAAGTTGAGAATAGTTTCAACCAAAACGATACTGTATTTTTTCGGTTTCCCAAAAATGTAGTTAGCAGCCAAAAATCAAGGTCCAAAGCGAGATTGATTTCATGTAAAGCGATCCAGCCGACGTGCAGCCAAAATTCGACGTGTTCGCGCGCGCGCGAAATCTTGGCACGAAGCCTCGGCTCAAGGGCGCGCTCCAGGAGCTCACTTCTAATCCTGCCTTGTCCAGCAAAGATGCGCTCCCAAACCTCCCTCCCCAAGCACTCCGCGGCCGAGAATCTTCGTGTCCTCGACGCCTGCCGCGCTGGAAGGACAGACTGGCTCACGGTAGCCAAGAACAACGGCATCTCCCGGGCCGTTGCGTACCGCATCGTTGACACCGGCCGTGTCAACAATCTCCCCCGTGGTGGCGCTCGTCTTGGCTCAACCAAGGTTACGCCGCTGGTGAAAGAGCAGTTGGAGGAGTACTTGCACGAGAGCTACACGTTCACCATGGAGACCATGTGCCGCATGCTCGCGCTGGACTTGGGCGTGGCAATCTCCACGTCGACGATCAGCCGTCACTTGCTGGGGATGCTGTACACGGTGAAGCAGACCCGCGTGGAGTCGACAACCTGCAACAGCATCACGAACAAGACGGAGCGTAAGGAGTTTGCGATCAAGTTGAAGCAGCACCAACGCCAAGGTAACTTCATTGTGTACTTCGATGAAACTAACTTTAATGTGTACTGTAAGCGCGGCCGAGGGCGCGCGAAGAAGGGTGACCGAGCTACGATTGTTCTGCCGCCGTTCAAGGGTGCGAACTTGCAAGTCCAGTGCGCTGTGACCTCGACCGTCGGTGTCGTTTTGCATCGCCTCGAAAGAGGTAGCATTCGGATGGAGCAGAACGCGGACTTCATCGACGAGATTTACGCGACGGTCAAAGCGTCCCAGTACCTCCGCGAGAACTACGCTGGGAAGACGATCGTTGTCGTCTTGGACAACGCCCCCGCTCATCGCCGGACGGAGGAGCGCGAGACGTCCCACGCCGACCTGGAGCTGCTGCGTCTATCCCCCCACTCGCCGATGTGCAACCCAATTGAGGGTTGCTTCTCCGTCCTGAAGTGGCACATCAAAGACCACCTCGCCTTGGATCGCTCGGAAATTTGCGATCGCAGCGACATGACCGACGCCGACTGCAGCATCCCGACCGTGAAGAAGCGCACGATGCGCTTTCTGGAAAGGGCTGTCCGCGGCAGCATCAAGTACATCACTCCCGCCATCGTCTCGAACATGGAGCTACACGCCCGCGACTCCGTGAACGCTGCCAAGAACATGGTCGACATGGTTTACGGAAAGTAGACTGATAGTGCTAGTCGAGCTGGGACCCTCGGCTCTGTCTGTTCGCTTTGCATGAAATCAATCTCGCTTTGGACCTTGATTTTTGGCTGCTAACTACATTTTTGGGAAACCGGAAAAAAATACAGTATCGTTTTGGTTGAAACTATTCTCAACTTGGCCGGGCAATGGTGTAGAATCAACCAGAAATAAATGCTTCGGTACGGCTACCGTGTTCGCAAATTCTGTTGGGCCCATGCCCAGTAGCTGCGCGTGGACCTGGGAAATGAAGCCTGCGTGATCAGCGGCGGGTTCGCCTCTCATTTTCCTTGCTTCGCGAAATACAATAAAGCTATTCACAATAGCGATATCAAATAGGCCAAATGCCATACTTTTGTAGTACTTGCGGAAGCGCAAGAAGAGCTACAGCGAGTAGCGTTGCAGCCGCAGCTGGTCGTGCACGTCCACCCCACCCATCCAGCGATGATATGCCTTCATGCTGGACGGGCAGGGGACCGATACTTTCGGACCTTGGCTGCGACGCTCTATCACAAACGATACAAAACAAGGTTAGATAAATACACACACTATTACAATACAAAATACGTACCGCTAAGTCTGCCAGCTCCCCCGCATAGAAAGCAGCTGCAGGTGCCTTCCCCTGTAGTCGCGGGAATTTAGCTAAAGAATTGTAGAAATTCACCAGCACACCTTTCTTCTGCTTCTTGGGTGGAACCTTTGGCTTGATTGAGACAGTCATGCGTGGGCGTCAACCGGTTGTAGGAGGCGGTGGCGGTGCTGGCAATGTGGCTCCGTCGTCGTCCCCAAAGTCTGCATCTCGGGTCTCGTGTTCCTGCGATGTACTCGCGGTGTTCACGCACTAGGCGATCCCTCTCCTCGCCGTCGTAGCCGCTCAGGCGGCGCATGACAACCTCTGCGTCGCGGCGCGTAACGCGACGCGGTGGAGCCATTTTCGTTTCGGCTTAGTGGCTTGCGTATGACAGCGGCGAGTTCGAGAATGAGTGGATGGCAGCCACAAACACGAAATCGTTTGGACCAGGCATGTCTCAAAGTAGTGTATTCACAGAACTTTCTATCGGACGAAATCTACCCAAACCCTGTGCAACAAGGTCGTAAAAAATACAAATGGACCTTTTCCCACATTTCCCACATGCTCGATATCAAGCATGTGGTTTTTTTAGACAAGCTTCCTTATCAAGCCTTAAAAGGTACACTTGTCTGATAGAGACAAAAAACACTATCTGTAACCTCCTTATGTATGTGTACCTTTCTCATTTAATAAGGGTACTATTATTAGTGCCCCGGGTATTATCGGAAATTTCCGCTAAT